ATGTTTGAGGTTAAGTACTAACATATTGTTAATGTTTTGTTTGAAACTAGATGGCGTTGTGTGTCAGATAGCCGAAAATATTATTTTAATTATTATTACAGTATATGAAATAAAAAAAATAAAAGCATAACATCTATTCGAGTTTAACACTAAATTAAACAAAAATAAAATAACAAACGTGGTGAGTCCGGAACTTGACACCTAATCTATCTATCTAAACCACAGATTAAGAGATATATGTACTAAACGACGACGTATCGACAATTTGAAAATATCGATGTATGTCTATTTATGTGCCGTTATCAATGACAATGTATTTTTCTCATCACACTGTGTAGTGGAAAATAACGTAACTATATTCTATTTCTTTAGTGTGTTTAAAATCGTTTAAAGAGAGTCAAAAATATTTTAAATCATTTCTAATTATGTTGATTCAGTCACTCTACCGTACGAGTGAAGACGTGGGCAGAAGCAAATTCATAATCATAATAGTGAACCTTCGGTAAATATTTCAGCCAAAGCTATAAGAATCGATTATCGATAAATTGTTCCATAATATAATATTGCCACCACGCATCCCTAGTCAGTTATACGTGATGGCGACTCTGACATTACGTACTTAGGTCAAATAAAATCTTCAAAAATATCTTATCTCTTATAAGACTTATACAACACATGGTGGTGTAATGATAAATCATAGAAAATTTTTGGATTAAGTTTACTGTGACCCGATTTTTTAAACGCTTAAGTTTTAGGTAAATATGTTTCTGCCATTGTTCTTTAGGCGTTAAACTCCAAAAATAGAGGTGTCACTAAATATATTTTTAGGTAATACGAAGAGAGTATAATGTGACCTTAAATTCGATACGCACTTCGATCTACTTTAACGTAACGTTCATCTACGTCATTTATATAACACTAGCTGGTACCCGCGACTTCGTTCGCGTGGAATTTGAAAAGCGCTGCCTTAGTGGGTTCGATTTCCGGACCGGGCAAAATTTTATATTGACTTTCTGAGAGGAAAAATAGCCTAAGCTACTCCTTATATAGACAGCTACCTGGTAGTAAAATATTATCAAAATCGGTTCAGCCGTTTAGAAGTTTACCCGAAACAAACACAGAAAGACAGACAAAAAAATTTTAGGCTTAGGTATCGTGCAAATAACCGTGTGAGCATGAAAAAAACTTATTTTGATATTACAAACAGACTTCAATTTTTATTTATTTATATAGATCAGTAAAAAAAAATTATGTTTCATCAATCAATAAAATCTCCTTTCTAAGGAGAGGCTTATGTCCAGCAGTGGACTATTAAAGGCTGTTGATGAATCAATAAAACACTTAAGTAAATAAATATGTGTTGGTGTTGTAATGATACGTACACAAAATATATGTAGACATAAAATAAAAACATGCAGGCTCCAAAAGTAAGAACGGAAAAGTTTTACTAAATTGAAGGAAAAAGCAGAGAAGAGAAAATGGAAGAGCAGCTATAGTTTAAGCAGGCCACTGTCTGTTGCCAAGATGTATGAGCATTTTATTAATTTACATATCGCATTTTAGCCAGAATACACCAAATAATTTATAGCAGATCTATTCTGTTTTGTACAGAACTGGTTCACTATCATGCTCGCCGACGTTCCGCATTTTAAATCATAATTCCATCTCTTGAACTCGGTCGTGAAATTATATTATTTATGTATTCATTTTGATGCAGTCGTCCGTCTGTCCGTGTGACCTATTAAATACTATCATTGAATTTATTAGCGTGGATAACAAAAAATGAATTTGGTGTTGCCGAAATTCTGTATTACATACAATTACAGTCATAAATATAAATAGTACTTGCGTATTATATTGATCTTTTTACGTAAGACAATAAAGCTTGGAATTGAAGCCTTTACTCTTATTAAGTAAATTCCGAGAATCTGATTTCTATTGATTTTACAATTCAATTCTGGCAATATTAGGTTCCAACTTATTTTGGGGTTTTCCATCACGTACTTTATTAAACCTTTAAAAGAGTTGCCGGATTGACGAAGACTGATCTCATTTTATTCCTAATCTCATTTAACACGACATTTTCTTAACGATTGAATTATTCTGAAACCTATTTGCATCTCATACGACTGAGGGGGTAATTCTGATTTAATCAACTCTTGAGATTATTATAGGTCTATGTAGACGATACTATCTAAGCTAAGATCTGAAACTCGGAAGCACGACTTGCAGTTTGGCCGACCTGTTTATACAGCTTGAACTATAAGTAAAATAAATTGGATTAAAGCATTAGAAGACGGTATGAAACTTTCACTTTGCTTGATAAGTATCGCAAAATTTCGAAAGGTACTTGCTTAGTCCGGTAGTTTTCACATTTTTTGACCTTAAAAGTATTTTTAGAATGTATTAAATAACGGAGGTAGGCACTATAAATAACTTTTCTTAAGCTAACAATATTATGTGCTCCTTATTTTAAGTAAAATTTTAACATTATTAAGAAAAATATAATCACTTCAACCATGATAATGATTTATTCTGAAATACCTTTATAGGAACTGGCACAAGGAATAGATACTGGTATCTTTAGTGTTTCCAGTCGAGCATAGAAGTAACTTCCATTTACTAGCAATGTCAGCCATAGTAAGTGGGTTGAAGTCTTGATATTTGACCCAGATCCTGCCGAGTCGTGCGCCCTGGAGACTCAAGTTCAAATATTTACTCGCTTCTCTTACATCTTTTTGTGTCATCGTTGGCCTCCACTCAGATTTTCAGCATCCTGATTGAGTTGATCTAAAAGCTTATTGAAATCCTTTTGAAGGTCTAACTGTTTAACTATTTACGTACAGTTCACATCACATCAACAGCCTTTAATAGTCTACTGCTGGACATAGGCCTTTCCTTAGAAAGGAGGTTTTAGCCTACTATACCACGCTGGCCAGACGGGTTGGTATAGGGTTTGTGTCAAGTTTTCCTTCTTTTTGCAGTGCTGGTGTCCTGCGTTGTTTTGCGCCCTTAGTCGGCTCTTACGACACCCACGGGATGAATTGGGGTAGTGACATTCCGTATTCTTAATCCGTCACTACACGGACAAGTTACGTATAGTTAGTAGATATTTATTACAACACCCGGTCGTTTCATGGCTGTGTTGGACTGGTCTTGAGCTTACATTGCAAGTGGTTTTGGCTGGATTCTTTCATCGTCGGCCGCCTGGCTGACGCCACTCCATCTTCTAAATGGAATTGTTTAGACGGGACAAAGGAAGAAGTTAAGTCGAGGGAAAGAAAACGGAAAGGGAGATGGAGTTATGGTATAAATTAGACGGGGCAGAATTATTAAAAACACCTTTATGCTGTTTGTTGTGAATACACTAAAACAAGTTTTATTCTAATGAATAATTAGTATGTTGAACAAACTCGGGATAAATTTAAAGTTTAAACCAGTTTACATCTTCAGTGAATATGTACATAGAATATTCTTTACTGTACTTTACTAATAAAATACAGTTGAAAAAAATCTAGATTTTAACTAACTGGGCGGTTATTAAGATCATTCAAGATGAGAATAGCGGTTAAATGTTTTTTCTTGTGTTTTGAAAGAGAAATTAATCGTGTGCCATTAATTTCGTTTCTGTAATCTTACTAATACCTAGTATTTTGAGCGCAAGTAGTATTTAATGCTTCTAAATGACCATTGTGCGGTTTCAAATGTACTTTTACGCATCATGAACTATTGCTACTGACACACATAAAACATGAATAATAACTGCATTTAAGAGAAATTAGCAATGTTTGAATTTTGTAGCAATCGCTTTACGATTTCGAAATAATTACGAGGAACGCAATCGGACTGAATAGATTCTTAGTAACTTAATCACTATTATATATCTTTCCTACCCCTACTTTCACGCCTGCTTCCTTACGGGGTAGTCACAGGCGTATACAACAAGATCCCACTTCACAATAAGTGGCAAGCTTATTGCCGTCTACCAGGCACTTTGAGAAATTAAGATAAAATGAAATGAAAATTGCGCAGTATGTTAAAAGGGAAAGTAATAAGAAGATGGAAGAAATAGGATTAATATGAAATTAACCAATCTTAGGAAAGAAGAGCATGAACTGTTTTCGTTCTGTAAGTTCTTCCTTACGCAAGAACTTTAAAAACAAAACATATCGTAAATTCAGGATTTATGATTAGCATATCAATCATTACACTACCTGAACATTTTTCTTTTACGAACATACACTAGACTATATTTTTTTAAACACAGCCATATTAGTATGCAGCTCAAGGCAGACATGGTCTTGACTCTTCCTATTATTCGAGTCAATGTCTTGGTCTACGACACAAGTCTATTATTGTTATGTTTCAGTAATGTTATTGTTGAAATGAATGTGTGGTGAATTACAATGTACAACATAATGATATTGACCGCATAAAAGTATTATGCTCTTATGCGGTCAAGCAGTTTCTTATTGCATCATCCCTTCATAGAAATCAAATTGACTTTTCGTTTCATTTCCAAAATCTCAAATTGTAATATTCTCCCTAATAACTCATTCTATTGTTAATTGACACTATTAACAACTTATTTTGTACCTACTAATAACTACTTAGTGAACATTAGTAGCGTAGATGGCCTGGGGTCCGTCGGGGTTCCAGGGATTTCCTACACACCTGGGTACACCTGGTTTCCCGGTACCCGAGACGGCGTGCGGTTTTTTGTCGGTGCATGTCCGACATAACCACCGGTGGGTGGTATCCGAAGGGATTACCGCACAAACAAAACAAAACTGCACGTTAGTAGCGATAATTACTAGGAAGTTACTTATGAATACTACATAACTGCTAAGTGCCATCTAAAATACTCAAAATACAGATAATATCTGCTATCTTTCATCTGTTAATCAAGCAGTAAATCATTTTATAGTCTGAACAAAGGGATTATGTATTACAAATTATAAAAGCATCAGTTTTCTCATATGGCTTTTTCTTTATTCTAGATTACGTCGCTGGCGGAGAACTGTTCACCCATCTGTACCAGCGGGAACATTTCAATGAAAATGAAGTCCGGATATACATTGCTGAAATTATACTTGCTCTTGAGCAACTGCATAAGGTATGTTTGCTTTTTAAATATTAAGCAAAATATCCAAGCTTACTATAGGTTTAAGGACACGGATAAACACAGTAAACAACAGTAACACGCACTTGTGACTTTTGAGTTGCAGGTGTCCATGGGCGGGGTAGTTGCTTACCATCAGGTGACTCGTCTGCTCGTTTGCCCCCTTACAACATAAAAAAATCAAGCTTTTCTTCAAAATTCAAGTCTTACAAATATAGTACCTCAGTAATGTGCGAATCCATATGGATTGTAAATAGATGGTATTGAAATGTTAGTCGTGATGATTGAATATATTTCTACAAATGCCATCTATGGGCGAAAACGCGAGTGACAATGCACCACAGTTTTTACTTGATGTTAGTCTAGCTCAGCAGTGGTTACTATGTTGTAACAAGGGGTGAAGGAACCTTCTTGTCAGGTTTATTTTTTAGTAGTACCGAGGCATCGAACCTAGATACTACCTTTTTTTAATGTTTAACGCCTGTCATTAGTGTTTAATGCCATTGGTAACCGTGTCTGTAGACACTAGACAGTCGTAACGCCAGCTGTTAGTCCGACGACCTTACAAGTATAATTTTACGATGGTAGTTGCCTACTTAGTAGTATGTTCACTTATTGAATATAAGTTAGTTCTAATAAATAAAAAAAACAATAACACTCCGGGAGTGCTGACAGAAGTTAAATTTTTTTTTTTCGATTCGAATAGTTCCGACATGAATATAGATCTATGTTGTACAAATTATATTTTAATAATAAATATAGTTATATTATCAATGTATTTCAACCCAAACTCAACTCTCTTGTAAACGGGGCCAATATATGTAGATGCTGGTGAGCGCTATCAAGAAAAAAGAGTGTGCACACTTTATTGATTTATGTTGATGTGTATATCGTAGTATATTTTAGCATGATCAGTATATCTGATATTTGTCTTGTTATATATTATTACTATAAAATTGTGATGAAAATTGTCTAGTGTGTTATAGCCAAAATTAACGTTTTTTTTTCTTTCTTAGATACTTATATACAGAGGTGTCTTTAACGGTAACAGTGTCGCGAGTTCAATGTTTTTTCCCAACTCAAAAAAAAGCATTCTTTTGTTTTTTGTTAAAAAAATGCCCAACGCGCCTTAAGAAGATTTTACTGCAAAAAAGCACGTTAAATAGTATAACAGACAATGTAGTATATTAAGTACGTACTGATCGTTAATACAACCACTAAATTCACTAGTATTCATGTGCCACTTACGAGCTACCACAGTATTCACAGCAACATACACATGTATCAGAACCGTATTACCTAGTTTTTACCATAAATGTTACATACCAAATAAATAATAAAACAGAGCTTCACCATCCACCTCCTGGTTCCATCATCAGACCATTTTTACCAATCCTAATACTGCAACTAGAATAAAATGATTTTCAAGATTTTTCCAAGATAGAGCATGTCCAAGTCTACTCATGTGGATAACCTTTTAGTTCTGTCAAATGATGCATCCGACCTATGAAACTTGTTCTATTATGATTCAGAGACATTTACCCAGGTGTTTCGAACTTTTTGATTTATACGATGGCTGTTAATATGGCAAACTTAATTACACTAACATAAATAGGTGCATTGACTTCTATGTACACAGTCTTTGTAAACATTCAAATGTTCATATTTTCTTGTTTTTCTATTACTGTATTGAAATTATCTACAGTTAATATTATCATTTTATGATATACAACACTACATAGTATCTAGAAGTGTATCATTAGCACAAACTCTTGACAAAGTCATCTTTAGAATAGTTTTAGCAAAAACTTGCCAATACACCGCCAGTGCCGTTGCCGGCACGAATGGGCCGGCTTGACCGGAGTGATACCACGGCCTCACGGAAAACCGGTGTTAAGCAATTCTTTCGTTGCCTTTCACTGAGTGAGTGTGGTTACCGGAGCCCAAATCCTCTCGAAATCGGAGCTCGAGTCAGCGGGAGGGACTCCAAGGGCAGCAACGCACTTGTGACTTTTGAGTTGCAGGTGTCCATGGGCGGCGGTAGTTGCTTACCATCAGGTGACACGTCTGCTCGTTTGGCCCCTAATACCATAAAAAAATAATACAGCAGGTCACTTGAAGTAGAACTTAGGCTAGATTGTAGATTATTTCTATTTTAGCTTTTGAACTAATAAAAAACTAATATATTACATTTTCCCTCAGCTCGGTATAATTTACCGCGACATAAAACTGGAGAACATACTTCTGGACTCGGAAGGACACATTGTGCTGACGGACTTTGGTCTCTCCAAGGAGTTCTGCGGAGGGGAGAGCAGGGCTTACAGCTTCTGCGGTACTATCGAGTACATGGCGCCAGAGGTCGTCAGGAGTGGCAGCCAGGGGCATGATATTGTAAGTACCATTACATACAGCTTTTGATAAGTAGTTGACTGTGTATTTTTGTCATATACTTTAGTGTTGCAGCTTGTGATTATAAAATAATGTAAGAATCGAAGGCGAATACGTAATGCTGTATATCAAGCACACATATATGAGAGAGCAATATAAATTGAGACAATACTCCTCTGAACTTAAACAATAGAGCATCTTAAACGAATCTGTATTGGCATCGCAATGCCGCATTGCTGCCAGTATTAAAGTAACATGTTTGTTTTAGTATTAAAGCCTGCCTTACATATATAGCGCTTTTAGCTTTACATCCCTAACAAACATCTTTAATACAATAAAAGGAACAACTTTATACTCATTCTAACAAGCGCGTCCTAGATCCTATTAACTAAGACATACGTTCCAAGATACTGTTGGATTTTGTACCCTAAAACAAGTAAATAACAGCAAGTTGAAGATAGAAATTCATACCTGAGTAGATGAAAATATAAACAATAATCGTTGAGGCGATGACTCACTAATATTTATCTGATGTGAGTTTGTCAATACATTGCTAGGAGATTGCATAATCTTTATGCCCTTATTATTTGTCTTTGTTGCGATAGTCTCACATACTAACTTGGAGTAATTGATCTAGTAATACTAACGAGATAAGTTTTAAAACCGTGATCTTTATACATTACTTACATAATATTTTAATTTTTCTACTGACTTAAAGACGTGCTAAATTCGTGAGATATGTTGTCGGATGGGAGACAGGTAAAAAAAAAGAAATTAGTTGCCTTCTCTGTGAAATGACGAATGACTGAAGCGAAATCAAAGAAATTGAAATATCAACTAGCCTGTGAATTTAAGATATTAACGTCTTCAAATCGAAAGCGATACAAATTCTTATATTGAAGGTCTTATATTGTTATAACACTGGCAGTTTTTGGCAATCTCACTTCTCATAAATATTCGCATAATCTTACGCTTTTTGTTCGTTCCTGTATAGAAAAAGTCCATTTACTTGCACTTGCGTACTTACAGGCCGTAAAAGTCCATACAGTTTTATGTACTTTACGCCCTTTGAATTAAAAATGTTATAACAAAAAAGCTACTATTTATTCTAAAATAAAACAAACAGTGTCCAAGGTTATATGCCAAGCAGTATTAACAAACTGAAACGGCTGTCACTTTAACACATAATTGTTTGGTACACAAAATAAATGTACAGACAGAGATAGCGGAATTAGCGCAACATCGTCCCGACCATCTAGGTCACGGTCTGTAGTGAGAACGAGACGGACTGTGTACTTTATACACTAGTTAAACAGAGACGGAGAATGCCACGTACAGGTTTCTATCAAGAGATTTTTTAAAGGTGTTTATCACGATAATTAATTTATGCGGTAATAGTGAAACAATCAAATGTTTACCTTACTCGTGGAAAACAATACCCATTTTATTTTCCTACTGTGTTTATTTTAACAGGCCTCTAAACCATGGTAGGGTTTTTTTAGTGTTCGGGTGATTTATTCTAAAGAATAAAGCTTAAAATTAGTCGCCTTTTACTTTCAATAAAAAACTTTCTAACATTGATTTTGATTCAAGGGTGCCATTGTACTGAAATGTTTTGCCACTACAATTTATACTACATATTTGTATTTATATATAATTACACATTTTTGTTTAAATATAGGCGTAATACAAAATATAAAGATATTGCCCTGCCCTGTAAACTCTATTAGCACTTTAGGAATACCGGCATTTAGATATCGACGAAACAGATTGTTAAAATTACACTTTGAAACTCTATGCCAAATGTAAACTGGAGTATTTGCTCACTTACCTAGTATGCTTGTTTCCAACCTTGGTGGTAATTAAAAACAAATTATAAACTCACAAAAAGAAAACACGAATAATACAGATCCCGTAAGCGTGGCAAAGACGCATAACTGTGAAACAATTCACACGTACACATCTGCAGTAAGCATCACACAAACAAAAACCAACATACAATTAAATACCTTATTTCTTTTGCAATAAGGTTCTCATTAAAGTAGTAATAAACAGGTGATATAAGAATTTGTTTAACTTTCTACAGTTCGATTTCATTCAGTGTGAATGCTAACAGCTGACTAGAATTTGTTGTTATCGAATGGTAAGAAGCTGTGGTAGGGTGGTGGTGACGTCTCAGCTCGCTCTGTCGTATCTAGGCTGCTCTGGCGCCTCTCTTTTTGAAGTTCATGCTACGTATTACGTATGGACAATTTGCAGTTTCTTTATAATGCTCTCAAGGTTTTGAGGTCTTGTTTATTCATAATTTTGTCATCGTGGTGGGGCCAACTTCCTCTCGTAATAAGAAATCAGTCTAATAGAGACATAGTTTCGGAACATAGGGACGTGATAATTATATATGCAATGATTGCGTGAATAACTTTTAAAAATGACTAGTTTTTTATCTTGATGGTTTTATAAATGCATATTCATCATTACTGTTTATTTCTTGAAACGCGAGCTCTAAAGCTGTTTTTTAAGACCCGTTTTTTATTCTCTCCAAAAACTCGTATCCTGTATTAAATATCCTTATAGACCACAAATTCCAATTTTAATAAAAAAGGCCCAAAAATTAAGTATCAAATATTAAAAAAGATGCATTTTCGAATTTAACTTTTACTGTTGGAACAGATTAAAAATAGGACTATCTGTCACAAAAACCGTAAAAACCGTCTGTATATTCTAGTATATAGATCCTCTACTTCCATTATCTATCTCTTCACATTATTGAACTAAGCCTCATTACATCCATTGCACCTAACTAGGTAACTAGTTAATGCTAAGTATTGTAACACAACCTTGTACCGTTTAATTTAATTATATAGTTCCTATTTACGCCACTGTGGAGGATAATAGGAACACCCGTTTAGTTGTTTCAGTATTTGTATATTCATTCGCTTCTTTTATAACAAATATCAGGAGGAGGCTTGCTCTACTCTCGTTATCAGGGAATAATTAAATCTAAGTTGTGTACGTTGCTGTATCCCCGAACAGCCTATCCTTAAAGATATAGATATCTTAAAATATTAAACATATGATATTGTATTGTTACTACATTCCTTAAAACATTCTAAGTTTACATACTAATGTTTTCTTAAATAGAATACATCAAACTATCCGAGATAGCACAATATACCACTAACGGCGTAGAGCCTTGACCCAGGTCAGCCAAGAAAATCGGAAAACTCTTAAGGGAATCGTATCCCGTTTATATAATACAAAATACAAAATGAGTTTATTTCTGAGAATACATTTCTTATTGCGCTTGAATTGAAGTCAAATATTACATAACATGTTATTCTTATAACGTGTTGATTGCACAATAGACTTCGAGTTGCGGAACATACTAGAATATACCATCATTCTTACAAACTTTTAATTTTTTTTATGATTTAAAGTTTTGCAAAAAGGAAATCTTAAGTCCGGATAAAGAGTGCTACATCTAAGCATCTCGTTTAAAACTTCATCAATAGCTAATACATAAATCTACTGTAGCGCAACCAGCGTGCCAATAATCAGATTTTGACGCCCACTAACGTAATCCTGGAATCGAGGAAGTGGCCACTTACCTGGCTAGTATTATATCTGATAGAAATCGTTCCTAGAAGCCTTTGAAACCCTAGGGGTGTCCGTGCTTCTGGAAGGAGCTTACCAACTCTACCTATGCATAAAAAAACGTTTTTGAGTCTAAATGCAAAAACCAGCCTCTTACCAATACCAATCAACGGAACAGTTTCTTTAAAAAAAAAGATTGCATGTTACGAAAGACTATCGTCTAATAGAAAACTTTGCCTTAAGTAATATCATAATTTCACAAATCGCTCATTACCTATTGAATACATTACAATATCGATCAGCATTCAATCCCAAGGCAATTTATCGATAAAAACGATTGTATACACAAGTATACAGTTACACAACCCGCGATCGTTGAGCCAAGGTTGTCACTAGGACAATGCAGGAAATGATTGCTGAAATGTATTAAAATATAGCATAGTTGTTATCTAATCTTTGATGAAAATTATTATTACTTCAAACAAAAAGGTCTTGTGACGGTTTCCATAGACTAGCTTAACGTCACAGCCGTCACTTTTCCGCTGTAAATTGGAATGGCTGGTCTATTGGCATCTGCCTGGTTTCAAAAGAACGTCGTTTAACGTCAGTGAAATGCCTTTTTTGAGGTCTGTACACTTGTTAAAGCAGCAACGCGGAGATATCTCCTGCAGTCTTCTATTGGAACATTACATTCGAAATTCGATTGGCTTATTCCCCTTAGCTTCTGAGCTAAAAACCTTCTATTACGTACTTACTACCATATTGAAAGCAAACAATGTTCAAATTATCCCCTAAATTATGTGTATAAAAGACTAAATCTGTCTGCTTTTATTCACGTTACAGATAAAAACCTTTTATTAGCTTGTTTATTTATACGCATTGTCTTTTTATTTCATTCATTTGTTTTTCTAAAAAAATACGGAATAGAATAATTGTTTATTGTTGATGTAACTCGATTCATTCTCCTGTCAATCCCGAAAAGGCACGTATGACTAATCTTGGTATGCGATACAACCGTAGAAAACGTCATTGACCGACAGACTCATGCAGAATTAACTAGAAAAACTCACAATATCTTTAGTACTATAGAAATAAAGTCGAAAATGACACTCAATATTAATAAAGAACATGGAAAAACTAAATAAGGTACTGACAAAATGTTTGACAAATGAAACTGGACTTTAAAGTGTTAATACCACTGTATTAAATTTGTTAATCCGGTAATTGTTCGTAAAACGGAGTCATTAATACTAATGAGTTCTTTGTTTTAATAAATTAGTTTATTAAATGTAGGAAAGAGGCAAAGAGGATCAGTCTGGTCATGTTTTGGATGTGCAACACACTGCATATTTACAAAAACATGAGTTTTAATGTAACATATTTAATTGTTTAATGCTTTATGCACAAAA